CAGCAAAAGCAGGAGCAGCCAAAAATTAGCAAGCTGGCACAGTTTGTCTTTTAGCGCTGGTAGTGGTCCTAGCACTGACGCTAACAAGTCTGGACAGCTGTAAGAGCACCAGGAGGGGGGACCATCAATCATGACTCTCATGCATACACTTGTCACTAGGGCACCTCAACATGTCCTAGTATATAAAGGAAAAGAAGAGTATAGTACAACCAGCGAGAGAAGAGGAGAAAATCAGGAAAGGCGCACAGAATTCCTGGATGAGCTGGAAACGGAGACAGAAGAGAGTACAGGAGATTTTGGACGCTGGAGCTGGAGAAAAGAAGAGTACAGCACGGATATACAGGGGTTTTTGACCTCAGATTCTAGCTTAGCTGTTTTCTCCTTCTCTTTGTATTTACTTTCTGAGACCTTATGGATCTGTTATTTGTTATTAATTCTGATTTTGTTGAACTAAACATGAGCTAAATTCCTTAGCTAGGATTATTGATGGAACCAAAGTTGCAATGAAGATCTATTTGCTATTTTGATTGATAATGTAATTTTCATCTGGTTTATTCAAGCATATTTATTGTTTACTTTCTATTAAGTGACAGGCCATCATTTAGTAAGAAAACACAAACTTAAGCTAATTCTGGAAAGGTTGGTTGAGTTAGATCTAGCTTGGATAATATGAGAGATAGTATAGGAATATATTATTATCTTATACAACCCATTAAAATTAATGTTAACGTCAGGTGTGTAAACTAAAACACATAGGAATATGTTGGGTTGGTTTAAGGAACTACAAGCATAAATCTGTCGGAAGATGATTATGTAGAATTTTAGGTTGACTAGATGAACTTTGCTACAGTAATCGTATAGCAAATCGTGGTCAGAGTTGCAACCGACGGGAAATCAGTAATCCTAGCCTTCATCCATCAGTAAATCACAGCTCTAAGCTCAGATCTTGTTGACTTTTACCTCTTGTCTGCATTTAAATTACCGTCTTTGGTCTTATACATATTTTTCACTTAATTAATATCAATTTGGCATTCAAACTATTCTCAATCATGTTGATAAAACTGGTTTTTGTAATAAAATTCCTCATTAACTCAGTCCCTGTGGAGACGATACTTTACTTATTACTATATTACTTGTTCGATTGCGTGCGCTTGCGTGGAGTCATTTTATGCATAGAGTTTTTGGCGAACAAAGTACCAGAGTATATCACGCTAATCCAGTAAAATTCTAACCGTTCTGACCGGTGTGCAAATTTTCTGACCGGTCAGAACAATATGCTCATTACTGTCTGTCAATTGTTTTTCTCTTCGAGTTTCTAGATTTCGAAGCTTAAAAAAATTTGACGAAATGATATCAATCTAGTTGGTTTTTCAAATTAAACAACTAATAATGAATACCCAACCTTTAAACAGCGATTTAAAGGAAAAAATTTAGAGGATTTGAGACAAATACCAATTTTGGAGCTTGATTTCTCAAGCTTTTTGAGGATCTCAAAAGCACTTGGTTATCCTCTTCTTGTTGTTGGGAACAACAACAGATTATGAACGGAGATGGGTATAGAGAAGATGGAAGTCGATGGAGGGTGTCATCGGTAGTGGGGGACAGTGCCGGCGATTGGGGAAGTGTTGGGGGAAAGGGGAGGAGAGAAATTGTTTTCTTGGGGGGTGGGGGTTTCTTTTTGTTTCTTTGTTTTTTTGTTTTTTTGTTTTTTGTTTTTTTGTTTTTTTGTTTTTTTGTTTTAGAACGATGATATTTTTTGTTTTTTCTTTTCTTAAATTAGTATTTTGTTTTTTAATGACAAAGGGCATTTTGAAAAACATAGAAGTTTCATTGAATGAGAGTGTTATTTATTTGAAACTTTCACATTTGGTGCTATTCACTTAAAAGAATGATAAATTTAAGGCTATTTTTTAAAATGGTCTGTGCCTCTGAATTTTTAAGGTCATTTTCATTTTATTTTTTAAATTTTAAAAAGTCTCACTTTACTCCTTGAATTTTGCATTTGTCCCATTTAAGCTCTTTTATAATAATTTCTGTTAAAATTAGAGGAGCATGGCTATGTAGTTTTTATTTGTTTATTTTTAACAAAAATTTAAATAAAAAGACAATGTAATTGTATTACTCTATTTTTTTATTTACTTTTAATAGATATTACAAAATAAAAGTATTAAATAAGAACAATTTAAAATTTAAAAGACAAAACAAAAATTTTTAAAGTTTAAAGAGCAGACTAAAAAATAATCTACATCTTATCTACATTGCGGAAGAAAGACACCATGACCATTGTACCACTCTATCGGTGGTAACGTAGCTTAAATTTGACTGGTATCGTTTATGATTAACCAAAGGCAGATAAGTTAACATTTCTTGATGTTTACAATTGGAATAAAAAAAGTGGGAGATCTTCACTCCTAAATCTTTATAGCCTTGTAATATATAGGTTAGATCGTAGACCTAGAGATCTCCTAGGTCACGTTCTTTCATTGGGTGGGGGTTTCTTTTTGTTTCTTTGTTTTTTTGTTTTTTTGTTTTTTTGTTTTTTGTTTTTTTGTTTTTTTGTTTTAGAACGATGATATTTTTTGTTTTTTCTTTTCTTAAATTAGTATTTTGTTTTTTAATAACAAAGGGCATTTTGAAAAACATAGAAGTTTCATTGAATGAGAGTGTTATTTATTTGAAACTTTCACATTTGGTGCTATTCACTTAAAAGAATGATAAATTTAAGGCTATTTTTTAAAATGGTATGTGCCTCTGAATTTTTAAGGTCATTCTCATTTTATTTTTTAAATTTTAAAAAGTCTCACTTTACTCATTGAATTTTGCATTTGTCCCATTTAAGCTCTTTTATAATAATTTCTGTTAAAATTAGAGGAGCATGGCTATGTAGTTTTTATTTGTTTATTTTTAACAAAAATTTAAATAAAAAGACAATGTAATTGTATTACTCTATTTTTTTATTTACTTTTAATAGATATTACAAAATAAAAGTATTAAATAAGAACAATTTAAAATTTAAAAGACAAAACAAAAATTTTTAAAGTTTAAAGAGCAGACTAAAAAATAATCTACATCTTATCTACATTGCGGAAGAAAGACACCATGACCATTGTACCACTCTATCGGTGGTAACGTAGCTTAAATTTGACTGGTATCGTTTATGATTAACCAAAGGCAGATAAGTTAACATTTCTTGATGTTTACAATTGGAATAAAAAAAGTGGGGGATCTTCACTCCTAAATCTTTATAGCCTTGTAATATATAGGTTAGATCGTAGACCTAGAGATCTCCTAGGTCACGCTCTTTCATTGCACTAATAATGCCTCTATGGGGAGCTTCTCATTTTTTTTTTTTTTTTAAAGGCTCATATTTGATCCAATTTCTTCAACTACTTTTTTTTTTATTATTTTTTTCTTTTTCTCTTTAACTAGATTGTTTTTTTGATGCTTTGAACCTGACTTATGTAGTCAGTAGAGTGACCTAACATCTCAGGTGACCCCCAAGGGCCCGGTTCTGTATTGTCATGTTCCCTTTCCTCCTCCACAATGGCACCGAAATTTTTCTGTTGGACAAATCATGTATTTAACTAAAAATAAACTGACATTTCTTTTCTTCAGGTCACAACACTTTAAAATATTCACACATTCATTTGAATGCCAGCCTTGTTTGAATTGTTCCATCAACCAAAAAAGAAACCAGAAAAAAAAAAAAAAAATTGGTCCGTTAGTTAAAAAGAGAAAAAAAAAAAAAAAAAGGCCAAAAGGCAAAAAAAAAAAAGAAAATGCAGTAAAAATTGCATGAAACAGAACACCGTGAGAGCCTATGGACAATCTACGGCACACATAAAGAGGGTTAAAAGCCAATAAGAAGCTTCACCAAAAAATAATTAAAAAAAAAGAGAAATTACCATGAAAAAGATAAACAATCATTTTCCTTTTCTTTTTGACAAAAATCTTGCGAATATCTTTTTCTCACTAACCAAAGTCCTATCCTAAGTCCCCGAACTCTTCTTTTCATAAGTACTGTTTCGTCGGCTTGTGCACCAGTGTCTGTGGGAGTAGGACACTGCAGGGACTAATGTTACTGTCGTTTTTTAAAGAGTAAATTGCAACATTGCAATGAATTTTTTTGTTTTTAGTATAACACACCATAAATTTTTAATTTTATCAAATTAATCCTTTAAATCGCACATGAAAATTTTTGCCTCTAAGTAGAAGTACATCTTGTTTAGTAACATTCCTAAAATACTCTGCCATATTTAGGGCAGTTAAACCAACATTCATACGAGCCCTTGACAGTTTATTTATCTTACTGTAGATTAGAATCACTTTTAATTCTGTAATATTTTGTTAATTAATTATGCTAAATTCATCATTTTTTAAACTAAATCAGTTAAAAATTTTGTATCTTCAACTCTCAATTTACTAACGCCCTCAACTCGTGTACTTTAATTGCTACTGCTGCTACTGCTTTAAAGTTCTAAGTTACAATGTATGGAAATTGAAATGTTTCAGATATATTATTCAAAAAGGGAAAAATTTAAGAGGCAACAGTGCAAATTTACTCCCTTTCTTTTTAATTTTTTTTAAAGGACTTATTTTACTTCTTTCTTTCTTTCTTTCTTTCTGGTTTTGGCTGGCCCTCCCACGTGAGTCGTTTTCCAAACCAAAGCCAGTCAATGCTTGGTTTTTGTTTTCCTTGTTCAGCTATACTGTTCAAACTGCTTCTCCCAAGTCGCTTTCCAATTCCTCTCATTGTTTTATAATCCTACTCATGCACTTAGATACATAGATAGATATAGGTAGCCACATTAAACACTCTCAAGAAACTAAAATTCAAAAAACAAAAAAAAGAGTTGATCAAAGCAAGAGACTAGAGTGACTGATCAGCCATGGATCTCTCAAGCCCCAGATACTTTCAATCCCCTTCTTTTTCAAATGCTAATACTGTGGTAAAAACACAAAAAAAAAAAAGAAAAAGTTTCCCACATTTGATTTATTTCCTTTTTGTTTTTGTTAATATATATTTTTTATTTTATTTTGAAGGAACCGGTAATGGAGAGCAACAACGGGAGCTTCTACGGGAAAACGAAGACCAACCCATTTCCAGAAGCCTTCCCCGACCCACTTTGCAAGCTTAATCTCAAGGAAACCTCGGAGTTCGTGAAGTCATTCCCAATGCAGAACAACCTCGGCGCCGAAACCAACAACGTTGGTTTTCTGGAAGCTTCGTCTGCTCAGAGGAGAAGAGAAGGAGTTAACTCCCTGATTCAAAGAAGGGCCTTCGAAGCCGCTCCTCCCACGCCCGGTCGACCCGTTTTCAGTTTCAGTTCTTCTGGAAACTTCTCGAGAAAGAGCTTTCCTTCGAAATGGGACGACGCCGAGAAATGGCTCATAAGCAGCTCTTGCCATGACTCGCCTGCTCACACGGCCGTAAAGTCGTCGTCTGAATCCGTAAAAACCGCCAAGCAAAACGACGGTTTTAAGCCGCAACTGGAGGTTTTCTCCGATAAGTCCAGGGTCACCGAGGAAAAAAGCTTTCATAATAACTCTGTCAGAGGTTTCAATGCTTCAACGGAGCACTTCTTTCTAAAAGGTGAAGAATGAAAGTCTAATCTCCATTTTTGGGTAGACTTTTGCATCTTTGGCTTTATTTTTCTTCGAACTTTTTCACTTATTGCTTCTTTTAAAAGCTTTGACAAAGTAAAGTTTTTGGCTTTTCACTTGTCGTGTTTAATTATGTTCCAACTTTGCTGGTACAAAACGTAAATGGGTTCTGTTTAGTACCTTCTGTAGCTCCTGATAAGTATATTAAACAATGCGGGAGTACTTTTGATGGCTGAGAAGCCTCAGGAGAATTTAATAGATGATAATGAATTTCTTTGTAAAAGTGTTCTCTTTTTGAATTCAACTATTCACTAATAGTAGTCTCGATTCAAATGGAAATCCTAATTACTATTAGCCATTACATTGAAATCCTGTTTTTGCATCAATGGAGATGAGTTTCAATTCCTAACTGATGAAATACATGAATTTTGTATGTTTTGGACAACTTCCTTATGAGAATTGTCAATGCAGACAAGTTCACGGACGACATAGAGCCAATAAGGCTGAATTTCAGAACGTCAGAGCCAACCAAAGAAGGCTTTCTGTTCAAAAACTCGCCCTGCGAGACCATGAAAGACGCAAGCACAGAAGTGGTTCATGACATCCAACACAGAGACGTCGGGACCGAGATGACTCCCCTCGGAAGCTCCACGACTTCACGGTGCCACACTCCATTCAAGAGCTCGTCCCCAGTGCGCCACAACACGCCGGCAAGTAGGTCGGGGCCACTGGGGTTGGGGTACTCCAGCAACACCAACAGCACCATTGACATTGCCCAGTTGCAGGAGTGCCATTTAGCCAAGCTCCAACTCGGGACTCACTATGACTCGGTCACTTCCAATTGGAGTTCAAAGGAAGAGGAAGAGGAGGAGATATCAAAGAGCCTCAGACATTTTGAGACAGACAATGGATGTCATAAGACTACTCCTGACTCTAGAGCAGCTGCTTGGGAGGAGGAGGAAAAGACTAAATGCTGTCTAAGGTAAAATTCTAATTGGGGTCATTCAGTTTTGTGATTCACTTGTTGAAAGTGATTTTTTTTTTTTTTTTAGTTACAAAAAGTTTTGATTTTGAGTCTAATCAGGTATCAGAGAGAAGAAGCAAAGATTCAAGCTTGGGTCAATCTCCAAAGTGCAAAAGCAGAAGCTCAATCAAGAAAGCTTGAGGTACCCTTTGGTTTCATTTTTTCTGATTGTTTTTTTTTTGCATCTTAGAAAGCTTTCAATCCGGAATATCATGTTATTAGTTAATCAACTGTTGAAGTTCACTGGGGAAATCCAAAATTATATTGACATTGAAATTTGATTAATGCCAATGCGCCATGGGATTCTCTCTTGCCTATCTTGTCATGATTTGCTAATGCACCCAGCATAATTGTGATGTCCTAAATAGTGTTTAACAGACTACATTCATTTGATGGACTCTGATGTTGAAGTCTAAAATATCAGTTAAAAAGTATTTTGAACTTTTTGAAAATATAATTGACTAGACACCATTCGTGGTACGATCTGAGTTCTCATCATGGCATTATCGATATAGTAATTAATTAGTTTTTTTATTTTTGAGATCATTAAGAAAATGAAATCGAAGCATTAGGCTCTGCCTTGAACCATTCTACTGCACATTGATCATTATATATTTATGTGTTCACCGAGAACTAAGATCCCATTGTTGTCGTACATCTTAAACTGTATATAATTTTGTTCCACTAGTAGAATTATATCGCTGGCTCAATTTTGTCTCTACACACGTGTGACCAAACAGCAATTATACACTTTAAGAATATGATACTTTCAAGTCTTGCCAAAGTGTCAATACAGTTATATACTAAGCTAAGAGATGCGTCAAGTCAACAAAGCTGATCTCTCCTTTGATGAGTGCATTATATAAACAGTTTTGGTCGGATTGCCTTATCAGTTGTATTATTTGGCAAAGTCATTCTTGAGCCACCCGCCGTTGTTTGGACCCCATTGTCCTGTTTTTATTTTACTGCTTTCTGGTCCCGCTTCTGATAGATTACAGTATTTGCTCTATATATATATATATAGAAAGCGTTTTTTTGTGCATGCTTGCTTATAAAGAGCGGAAGCAACCTAGAAACTTTAGAAAGTCATTATCTTGGCATTTAACAATATCATACATTTGCATGCCCCATGTGAGGTAAGTACTAACAAACAACATTTAAAAGTCTTTGTGGGGAATTGGGATTTCACCTGTCTTTACTTGGAACTTTGTTTTATATTTTTTTATATTCCGGAGAAATCTAGATATCTTATCCCATCAGTAGACCTACTTCTAAATATTCATTTCAGACTATTTATCATATCCAGAAAAAGAGTACATTGTATTGTTACACGTTAAACTTTTTGTTTTTTTGTTTTTTTTGTTTTTACATAATGCATCTTCAAACTTTTAAGTTTGACAAGCTATGATGAGCTTTAAAAACAGTAGCAATTAAAGTCTAAAAATTGACGGACATTGTCATTGATGGTTAAAAACATGATATTTGCACTTAAATCTGCTTTGAAAAATAACAAACTTTGATTTTCATGTTCGAATCTCGTGTCTCAAACCGAAATGATCATTAACTATTAAGGCCTCGTTCAGGATTCGAGTTTTTAATTCAAGCTGAGATGTGATATTTTTTTAGAGTTTTTTACTGTAACACAGAAAGTTAGATGTGACTCAGAGTTTTTTACTGTAGAAACTTAAAACTAAAAACTCGAATCGGTCAAATGAACGTGGCCTAAATCTCAATTGCTACTTATTTTAAAGATTATGGTCTAATTTATCAAAATTAAAAATTTAATGTGTATTATATAAAAATATAAACGAAACTTACGGTTAAGAATCGTTTCCTGGCAAACGTAGAATTTTTCTTTATATTTCTGTCTAAATTGAATTGTTGTGTATATTTTTGTGAAGGTGAAAATCCAAAAGATGAGATCAAATCTAGAGGAGAAGTTGATGAAGAGAATGGCGGTTGTTCATAGAAAAGCTGAGGAGTGGAGAGCAGCGGCAAGGCAACAACACACAGAGCAGATTGAGAAGGCCACAGAACATGCCCAGAAGAAGATGAATATGAATAGGAATCACAGTACTCATTTCTCTAGCCATGTCTCTTGTGGTTGTTTTCCATGCAATAATCACTATCGGTCATGATATGGGACAAAATTAAGTAAGAAAAGAGAGAGATTTGATTGAAAAGCCATTTTGTATATTTGTTTTTGGCCTAATGATGAGAAAACAAGTTTTTTTTTTTTTTTTTTACATCTTATAGAAAGCCAAGATCATGATCATCCACGACTTGCTAAGAATGGACACGCGTGTCGCAAAGGCGTCTTGGTTTTCACACACTTGCATTGCTGACAGAATTGTTGGGTTGAAATCGGAGACGGATTATAATAATAATTTTTTTTTTCTAATGTAAGGGGAAAAAATACATCTTAGTTTAATGGGAGACACCAACTAAGGGAGAACAAAAAGTAAATAAATGAGGGAAAAAACTTGAAACAAAAAAAGAAAAAAAAAAACAAAAAAAACTTCTGTTTAAATTAGATTAAAATCATATTAGATTAAAAATATATACAAAATATATCATTTTTAATACATGGCTGAAAATAGAAACTATTGGCAGTGAAAAACTCCCATAAAGGACAAAAAATTTAAAGATTAAAGTTATTGCTTTTATGATTTCCATTAAAAAAATCATTATATGCGTTTAGAATTGGTTCTAGATTATTTTTGAAAACATTTTTTCACGTTTTTTGAGACACGAAAATGAAAATGGTTTAAAAACCGTATTTGTTTGACAAATGTTTTTGACAAATGTTTTGAAAACGAAACTGAAAACAAAAAGCAATAAGAATGGCCTTTGTGAATAAATTAAAAAATAGTTAAAAGTTATTTTTTCTTTTCTGTTTTTATTTTTTAATACTTATCAATAATGTTATAATATATTTATTATTAATTATAACTAAACACGATTTTATTTTTTTATTGTACTTAAAATAATCTCTTAAAAAATTAACTAAATATAATTTTAAAATTGATTCCAGAATAATTCTCAAAACAATCACATTTTTACTTTTGTACTGAAAATAAAATCATTTTAAAAACGTTACCAAACGGACGCATTATTTCTTCTATTAAGAGTAATTGTGTCTTTTTGCACAACTGATTTTGCTTAAAGTTTATATGAAGAAGCATTTTGTGAGATTAGAAAATATAAGAGTGAATTCTTTGTCGTTTAAAGAAGTTAAGAGAATATCTCAATAATAATTTTTTTTTTAAAAGAACACGCAAAACACATTCTTATAATTCTTATATGGGTGTGTCTATTCACACTTCTTTTTACTTTTCACACATTTCTTCTTATTATTATTAAATTACTTATTAATAAAATTACTTTTAAAAACAATAATATTTAAAAAAAATACTCATTACAACCCAACATTAAAAATTTGAAGTTTGAAAATTTTTCAGTTTGTTTATAACAGTGATATGGTTTTGAAAAAATAAACGTCTATAATTATTCTGCGAACCTGTATATGTATCGATTAAGAAGTATATAAACGTTTCATTCCTTGTTTATATACTGATTTTATATAAACTTAAAATGAAATCTCAATGATTGAGTACTTTTTTTTTTTTTTTTTTTTTTTTGTAATGAAGCATAGCCATGTATTTCTAGGAAACAATTGCAAAGCTGATCTTGATTGATTTCGATAACTTTTCGATATTGTACATATATAGAGTTTTCTCAATGGAAATTTGTTTTAGGATATCACAAAGAGTATTACAGTTTGTTTTGAGATCTTGACATTTTGAATCACTTGTTAATGCTCGACAAAAGTTATTCATTGATCTCATGTTATAAATAGGGCCGATAATATGGGTCACGACACGATGATACGACTCGAAAACGACACGAATTTTACGGGTTAGGGTTGAGAAAAATGATGTTCGGGTCAGAATCGGGTCGACCTGAAATTGACACGAAAAACACGGGTCAATTCGGGTTGGACCCGCCTAACCCGAACACGACACGAAACTCGTAAAAAACTAAAAAATACATATATTTTTCATTTCATATTTTAAATTTTATTATGAACTTGTGATATCATGATAGTTATACTCAAAATCTTATACTATTATTTGCTTAATTTCAATGGATGTTATTGTAATTTAGTGTGTTATGAATTTTAAGTTATTTCTAATATGTAAAAAACTAAATAAAAGTATACAATTTTCGTGTCAATTTCATATTCACGGGTTAATTTCGTGTCACGGGTCATTTTCAGGTCGTTTCGTGTCAACTCGTAAAGTGGTCGTGTCATGTTCGTGTTGCCGTTTTTAAAAAATTTCGTGTCACGGGTCGTGTTCGGGTTGACTACAAATTTAAAAAAAATGATCAAAACACGACACGAACACGATACGTGACACGAATTGCCACCCCTAGTTATAAAGCTTTTTTTCACATGAACAAAGTGTGGCTATCTTCAACAGAAGAACAAATGATCAAATTTTCTATGTAAGCAAGAACATGTGAAAAACAAATAATAATAATAAAAGCAGATAAAGTATTTCTAGAAAAAAAAAAAAAAGCACATTTTATCCTTAAAAAAAAGAAAAAAGATGAACATTTTGAATTTTATCAAAGAAAAACAATACAATTAAGTTTGTGAGATTTTTTTTAAAATTTTAAAATGAGTGTAACCAGTAGAATGAAGTGGTTTAAAAATACGTGTGAAAAATAAAATATGAGTTATTTAGTTCTAAGAATTTTTTAGAAATTTTAAGAGGTGTCTAACCACCCTTCTTATATATATATATATATATATATAAATATTTGAATTGGATTAAACACTTGAGTGATTCCATGGCCATTCCTTTGCAAATAGCGACTTGACGTGCAAAGGTTCTCTGTTATTCTCGCTTTTACTAGACTAGAACTGTTTAACAGCTCCATATATCGCGCCAAACACGGGTGGATCAAAATTTTCTTTACCAGATCTTTGACACGTGTACACAGTAGGACCACCATACAAACATTATCAACTTTAAATTTTGTATGAGAAAAAAATATTGTAACAGAATTAAGAATTATAATATTAGATTAGACAAAATTCTTAAAACAAAGATATGATTCCTTTCCTTCTCCTTCCTCCACAGCTTTAGTAAGTGTTGTTTGGTAATAAACTATACACGAGAATAGAAGATTAATTGTACCATATGTTTATAACTAAAACATGTTATATACATAGCCTTAAAAATAAAAAATGTTATAGAAAGTACAGTAAAGAAAAAAAGTAGAGAGATTTTAGACTACGTGATAGAATAACAAATCATTAAACACGCCATGCTACAAGATATTCCATATAATTAAAATTGCATTTGGTATGAGGGTTTTAAAATTAGAATTATGATTACGGTTCAAACTTTTGTTTGTCTGTAAAAGGTAAAAAATGGTTCTTGAAAATCCGTGTTTAGTTTGGATGGTTATGGTTCAAAATTTAAATCATGATGTGATGTTTTAGACCATAACTACTTCAAAAAATAAAACTACTTCTCCGTTGATTTTAGATGATTCAAACCTCTGGTTCTGATTTCGGTTTCAGACCCATGGTTTGGACCCCAAGTTCAAACCATAAATCATGATTCTAATTCTAACTTGATTTGAACCTTCATACCAAATACTACTAATATACCACATGATTTTGCCTTGGGGAACTTGATTCTAAACAACAAAAAAGTTGTTCTGAACTATTACCTGATCACTATGACAGTAAGCACCAATTGTTCTTACAGGAAGTCGATCGAGAATCCGTCGAGCTCGTGTTATTTGCATCCGTGCTGAAAAGAGTTCGAACGTAGAAATAGAATCAAGCAAGAAAGGAGAATTTGCGGTTTACCAATAAATTACAAACAAAATTATTTGTTCAAAGTGCTTGCCATGTTTCTTGCCTTTTAGTGTGGAGTCATTTAACAAGTACTCGAGCAAGCCTTTTATTCGGCTTTTGTCCATAATGGATGAATGCTCAAACAGTGCAAAAGCCTGACTACAGATGAGAAAATGATAATCAAGAGTTTCTCTCACAGTTCTATTAGTATTAGAGACCTTCCTACATTCTAAGTGCAGCAAATTTTGAAGTTCAATCTCCGGAAAAGCGCTCGTTATTCAAGTTTAGTGAGCACATCATAAGTCTATGGATAAATTTTTCTGTGAGGAAAGCTCCAGAGTTTTACTATAGCTAGATGTGTAAATTTAGGCCGCCCAACTCGGGCCTGACAGCCCAAAGAGAGAAGGTCTGCCCGGCCCTAAGCTCAAAAAGTTTAGAGCCGGTCTAGAATTTTATAAGATATTTAAAAATATGATGTTTAAGCCGAGCCGGCTCTAAATGAGAGAATATCGGCCCATCCTGGTCTTAAGCTCAAAATATTCAGAGTCAGACTCGGGCCAACAGTAGTGAGCCTCAAACCGGCTCATTTAGCCGAACTCAAACTTGTAGCTCTAACTATGGCAATTTCAGACGTTATTCATTCTAGCTTTTTGTCCGTTTTCATATCTTTGCCCTTTTTAACTTTCATGTGCTTAGGTTTTGTCGTTTTCTTTAATTTTACAACCATTTTCTTGGTCTTTGTCGTTTATACTTTCTATGTCAATTCATTTCGTCGTCATTTTATTATGTAATTGTCGTTTTAACCTTGGTGTTGTTTCTGTAGTCGTCGTTGTTTTTTATATTTATTTTTTGTTTGTTTCAAATTTATAAGTATTTTCATGTTTCTTATCTTTTGTCGTTTTCAAATTTTAAGTGAGTTATGTCGTTTTTGTTAGTAGTCTTTTTCCGTTTTTTTGCATGCAATTGCAGGATTTTTGGCATAATTGCTCCGAACTTGTCGTAGTTTAGTAAATTGCCCTCTAAATTTTTACTTTTGGCAAATTACCCTCTAAACTTATAAATTTATTAAAATGTGCCCTATTTAATTAAATTTGCTCAAATATTTTATTAGATTTAAGGAATTAAAAGTTGAAATATTAAAATATTTGTGTTATATTTAAATTAGAATGTTTAGTTGAACGTACTTTTTTGACATTAATTTAACACAATATACGTCAAAATGAGACATACTGCAACAACTTTACAAATTGAGGGATAATTTACCAAAATTAAAAATTTAGGGAGCAATTTGGTGAACTGCGACAAGTTTAGAGGGAAAATGAACTAAAAACCCGTTTTTGCAACCATGGTCGCTATTTTATCCTCTTTCTAATTTGAAGTCGTTTTCATGTAATTTTGTCGTTTGTAACCACGTTGTCCGTTTCAATATTATACAGTCGGGTTCTCATTACGTTTTGACGTTTGTTTCTTTCTGTTTTGTTGACGGGTCTATCAACATTAATCGCCTTCGACGGCGCTTCTTTCGTTTACATGCCCATATATTCAAGTAGAAGGGACTCCCAGCTATTTGTACATGTATTTTGTCCCAACTAGAAATCAAGTACTAACTCAGTATTGCAAGAGGCTCTCCACAACTTCCTATAACAAAACATCATTTTTTGCTCATCTTGTTACCGGTTTGCATGACTATAATAGTAAGAATTATCTATAATCCGATATTAAATTAAAGCGGCACATGAATATTTTCTTTAAAAATATGTATATTTCCTCTTAAAATATGTATATTTCCTCTTATAATTTGTCTAAACACTTATATATATATTTTTAAATGAAATATACATATTATACATGTTTTTTAAAAAAATATACATGTACTGCTCTAATTCGGATAGGAGACTTTACCAATAATAATAATAATAAAAATGAAGGATAGCTCGAGTATTATCAATAAACCAACAGACAATATGATTGCTTCATTCAACACAACAAATGTACTCGCACGTCTCTAACCAAAAAATGTACAAAAAAATGTCCCGCTTTTTTCATTATGAAGTTACTGTGTATGAATGGCTAAACCTTATTCTGAACTATCTCAAGAAAGCCAACAAAACGAGGATTTCTCAGTCGCGAAACTCGTCCATGAATCCCTTGTGGAAGTCCGTCAACCGAGAGACAATTGCCGGGATCTTGTCCTCTTGAGGCAGTATTGTGCATCTAAAATGCCAGGTGCCTGGTGCCTGTCGCACCATCACAGCAGAAAGTCAGAAACAATTTTATGGTCGCATAAAATATAACCCACAAAAAAGATACAAAAATACTAACCTGCCCAAAGCCAGAACCGGGAACAAAAACTATTCCGGTCGCGTTGAGAAGGCGGTGACAGTAGAAAGCGTCCGGTGCTTCTTTTACAGCCTCCGCCGCTTTAATTGCCTTCTGTGGCAGGTTAATGCGCGGAAAGAGATACATTGCTCCTTCTGCTTTGTTGCATGTTATGCCCTCTAAGTTGTTGAAGGCATCTTCCAGGGTCTGTATTTACAATGAGGAAGTGTTGCTAAGTGTAAATATAAAGTTAAAAGACTGCAAACTTCGAAGAATAGTAAGCACTGAGATGTGAAATTTGGAGTCACACAGGTCTCACTAACTCAGTCTCTACCTCTAGATGGAACTTTTCTTTTTCAAGTGACTGTTTTGTTATACTAACCTTGGCACGCCTTGCTAGGGATGATAAAATTCCATCTCTCTCAGCACGATATGATTCGTAAGATTCATCACCAACCTGCACAAAGACAAACTCAACGTCACATTTTTATCTGTACAAATGACACAAGCAATTAAAATACTGGTCAAGGCAAACCCTCCAAACTCAGGAGGCCCAAGCTCTTGTTCAGAGTCGTACTCCGACAAGCTCAAGCTACCAAAATTCCTCAATACGATCTCAAATTACAAGTTCCTTCAATAAAGAGCCATAGACGTTTACCTTGGGTGGACTCATAACGAGGCTTGCAAGAATTTGACCAGAGATATTAGAGCAAAGATTTACAGATGCCACTTTGTATATTTGTTCCCTTATATCAGCACTAAACCCAGTAACTTCCATGTAACCTCCTCTTTTTCCACACTCTCCATAGTATCCTGAATCCAATTAAAAAGTGTGAATAACTTATTACTTCAGTAATTTGCATAAGCTCATCTCTTTAACATCATGATTCATGATCGCATCATCTTGAAATTCATACCTTTAGAGACCGACTGGAAGGACACCAAGGCAATATCATCCTCACCATACCCCATAGACCGGGAAACCTTCTTGAAGGAATGAAACTCCTTTTCAGGAACATAAACGTTTTCCTGATATACCTGTGTCATGTTCCCCGCATAGTATCAGTGGTCATGAAAGAAGCTACAATATGTTGGGATTTATTTGACGGCCAATGCAGACTGAATCAGGTAACCAGTCAATGCAATCTTAATTCAATACTAGTATTAGGTAGAGATCAATTTTCTTCAAGAGAAATCCACCTACCTCATCAGCCAGCAAAACAAGACCTTCTTGCTTGCAGAATTCCACAATATCCCGCTGGTTGCCTTCAGCAACAACCTACAGGAAAGACCGAAATATCAATTGAATGAGATCTTCAAAAGAACAGAAGCATCGTGTTCAAACGCAATGTCTTTTTGGTAAAAATTTTAAAACCATGAGCCCGATCCTTTGTTATTATCAAGTACGTTGCTATGACATAGATAATAAAAGCACACCTGGCCTGTTGGGTTTCCTGGATTGATAACAACCAAGGCCCTCACACTAATTCCCTTGGACTTGGCCTCCTCCAGTTGCTTCTTGAGTTCCAAAATTTCCAATCCCCACCCTGATGCCTCATCAAGATAGTAAGGAACCTGAAAGAATTGGGTCAGATTTTAGATTTCCAGAAAACTGAAAAAGATCATTTAGGTGATATGCAATACTCTATTTTCCAACTTCTTAAACTCTACCAGGTTGCCATTGGGAACTCCATACTACAACATTTTTAGAAAATTTGCCAATAAGTTAGTCGAAGTTAGGTTCACAGCCAGCCTAATGCTAAATGTTGACAGTTGAATTTGAGAGGACTACAAACTGAATAATAGACTCAACTTTCGGTATAGTGCAAAATGCATTTATGCAGTATAAACATACCAAAGTGCCACCATGGAGAGCAATTGAAGCAGAGTACAAAGGGTACTGAGGAATGGGGCAAAGGATTCCATCCTTCTCTGACCTTATCAGCAATTGCATCATCATATGGACCTGGAAAGAAAGAAATAACAGCGAAAATAATTATGTCACTCACTCTTCGATGATGATATTTGCCATATAAAGAACATATTGACATGAGATAAAAATGAAAGACTGAAATATTGAGAATTACCGCAGGGCTTGCACCATCTGTTAAGAAAATATCATTTGGATTGGCAGGATAACCATCACGAGCTTCAATCCCAGCAGCAATCGTATCACGCAACCCCTTGATACCCTGACATGGAAAGGGAGAAAATATGAGAATAGGACGTATAACCATGGTTTTGGCTTAAGGGCCGTGATGAAGAGACATAATTCCAGATTCACAACTTGCCCATTTTCAGTTATCTATAAAGGAATCTGCTATGATTACCTACCTGACTATGGCTATAAGCACCAGTTGCTCTTCCAGGAATTTGATCAAGAATTTGCCAAGCTCGCTCTATTGCATCCGCACTGTGAAGGGTCATGAGAATGGTAAGGGACCAAAGAGATTAAACAAGGATTTCTAAATGCCTTCTTTTATTTATCTAATCACATGGGATTCAAAGATAGACAACCATTTGATCATATCCATGCCGCTTGCATTATTATATGAAATGAATGGCATCAAAGATTAGCTCCTAATATTAATAAATCGCTAGTTATGTTAATTTCTGTTTACTTCATTCTGGGAACGAGGATTGTAGTTTAAGTCTAATGCATTTTAAAGTAAGGATTCTAGAAGACCGTTTTAGAAGAATCAATTACAATGCAAATATCCACAAAGAGGATCTATATTAATTCTGTTCAAATTATTGATGCAGATAGCAAATGACTGACTTTTTCTCTTTCGTTTTTTTCTTTTTTTTTTTTTATCAAAAAATATACCTGAAGAGGCCCTGTGTTTCACTTTTGTCCAAAATGGCTGGATGATCACATAGTGCCAGAACCTAGCATAACAACAACAATTGAGTAAGAATTTCTCAAGTTCTAACCAAACCAGTGATTTCCATTTTGAAGTCTAGCAAACCAACCTCTCGGAAAAATGTAATTGGCTGCTGGCCAAGAGACTGGGGATTTCCAATGTTGCAGTAAAGTATCTGCATAATATTAAATTAAAAATTGAAATCAGAAGTTAAGTGAGACTGACCAAAGAGCATCATTGCACCCATCCCGTCTTCACTAATATCATTTCGAGGGAATACCACAAGACAAATAAAATAGTACTTATTCTTCTAGATAAACTTCTATTCCTGTAACTTCAGATAATATTCTTCAAACTTAGTTGTAAGCAGATAATTTTAGTCTTATATACTTAATTCATCAAATAAAATTGAGGTTGGAATATTCTAAACAAGGCACCAATGTGGTCATACGCAATAGAAAAATTCCATTGGGAAATATGTGTCAACAACATACCTCATCAAAGGGATGGGAACCCGGTTTTTCCTGTAATTCTTGTTGCAATCTCTGTGACAGGTGGACATTGAGGGCAAAATTCAGATAGAGTTAACTGAGACTTGATATAAACAGCTCCTTGATAAACTGACTTGAAAGAAATAAACTTTAAAAAGAAATACAAGGACCATATATTAATTTATCCATCTTGAGTTGCCTCTTCATGTTTCCAAGAGGCAGATCACATTGACACAATGCCGCATGTAAAATACTAACCTTTTTCTGCGACTGAAGTCAAGCTACCACAATTCTATAGCTTTAGCCTCTTTATGTAAAAATATTATTCTTATACAAATGATTTTGCTTGGTTCTGTAGAATACACTCATATACCTGCGCAAGGGTGACAATTTCTCCTCGAACAGCATACTCGCATTTCAGAACCTGAAAATCAAAGGAATTTAGTGAGGTGTTAGCACCAAAAAAAAAAAACACTCCGGAATCTAAAAAAGAAGAGAATGAAATCATTTTTCAATTGATTGAACTGTTCCAAAAGAAAAAAGAAAGAAAGAAATCAACACATCCAACAGAATGACAAACATTCCTGAACTTGGTATAATTACCAAAATTGTGAACCAAAGATTGAGGATGGCACTGTTCATAACCATTTCACAGTATAAGGAACAGAAAACATCAATCAATCCATTCAATAAGCAGTTAGTAACTCTTATCAAACCCCAATGAAGATACCATGTTTAGTGTTATTATAATATCTCCCTTTTGTCCTTGTGAGGGAGGGGTGGCTCAGACCCATTTTGAACCAATCTTTTCTGGTCAAACTCAGCCACAATAACTTACAAAGCGTACAAATTGGATTATCCTGGAGAAAGTCTAATCAGAGATTTTTTAGTCTCTCGATTTATTATCACATTAGACTATAATAGTATCGCTTCTGTGGATTGAGAAAACTATAATAGTTTACTCATTAAAGGTCAAGTTAGTATAACACCCACCAATTACAAGAACAGTATCCCAGTTAATGAAAGAGATACTTTCATTTTTTTTTTTCCTTTAGAGCAAATCAAAACATGGATCACCAGAAAACCTGAGAATGCGATAGAAACAAGGAAAAGGACAACAAACCCAATAGCAAATAAAACATCATATTCTAGCAAAACCCCTCAGGCACTACTACCTACTATCAACATCAAAGTTTATTTTAAAAAAAAAAAAAAAAACTCGTAAACATCTGAGAAAACGAGGTTAACCACAGGATCAAATCAACTATGATCATACACGTTACATGCATTAAAAAACCAAAATCTGATGCTAAAAGAGAGAGTCAAATGGAGGATGCTAATTCATCAAAAACCAATATAAAAATAAATCACGCCAAACCCAGATGAGAAATCCATCTGGGCAATTGAATTCTTGAATGAAAAGCAATAAAAATAAAACCTTGGGATTGATGGTTTGGAGAGAGAGAGGAGGAGAGGCATGGGAGGAAGAGGAAGAGTCGGCCATGGAAGTAGAAGTTGCAGAATCAAAAACAACAGGAGTGGAGGACAAGAAACGCGAATGAGACGAGGAGAGAAACCGACGGTTGTGTTGAAAAGAAAGCTCGAGAGCTTTTCTAAGCTTGCCAGCTACGGATTTCCGCATCGTGGCTTCTGCTGCTTTTATGTGGCAAGCGTTGAGAATTTTCTGAATAATAATTTTAATGATAAAAATAATTATTCAGAATTACTGTATTGACGGTTTTGGGGCACTTTCTTCAAAGCCGGCCTAGTGTTTGGTTGTATGATTCGTCCACGCTTTCAATTCAAAGGTTGCAGTTTCCAGGCGCCCACGGAATATGAACTTCCCCCTCTCTTTCTCTCTCTTAATTTCGGGTATATTTATGAACCTCCTGAGAGAACTTTTCATGAACTGTTTAGTACAAAAATTCGTACCATAATTTAAATTATAATTCGTAATATAAATCAAAAATAATTTTAAATTTATAAATTAAATATTTATTTAAATTTTTTTTTTTCTGATTTCTTTTTTACTGCTGGTTTTTTTTTTCTCCTTGGGAATTTTGCAGTTTCTTTTCTATCTGGTAAACTGGTAAAGGCAAAAACTAGGGAAGATGTGATGGGGTTATTATTATAGGTAAAATGTATGGACATTTGGTTTGGTGGGATTAACTAATTAAAAGAAGTTTATTATTATCTCTAACTTTGAGTTCTAGCAAAAAAATAAAAACCTATATAATTTTGAGTTTGAGGACCACGCCATGTGACGTCATATGCTCGTTGCAAGGCCTAAACAAAAAATAAAATAAAATAAGAAATTTCTTTGTCTTGCCAATAAAAAATGAACTGTAAGTAGTTTTTATTTTTCAGTAGTTAAATTTATATAAAAAAATATATGTTTCACGTACTTTTTTAATTTATTGTAATTTTGATCATATCGGTCAGAAATTGACCCTATAAATAGAGAAGGTTGTTGAAAAAAGTTTCATAAAATAAAACAAAATTCCCTTTCTATAATATTTTTTTTTAAAACATTAGACTTATCCAAATAAAAAAAATGTACAAAACTGATGAAATGTAATTCATTTGACGATTAAGATTAAAGTCCAACTTATAAATCTTTAGGGGCAAAAAAAAAAAGAAGCAAAAACAAAGAGATGAAATGGAGATGCGATGCATTATGACTTTTTGGTGATGAAATGCTTGGCGAATGCCAGGGATTGAAGTATTGCAAATTTTACACCTCTGAAGAAGTGCTTGTTGAACAAATTGATTAGAAACTTGTGGTATGTGAAATCGAATACTTGTGTGTGTGTTCAGTATGTGGTCAGACGTGGAAAAGCAGTTCCTATGCATTCTTTCATTTTAACATTTTCATGAGGTTATTGGGTGGTCAATGCATCAGCGCATGCCAATGGGTGCCAATGGAGTTGGATTTTTTTATACTGTAGCGGGTGTGTAGCTCCTACTTTACACAAGAAACGAAACAACTTAGGGCCCGTTTAGTTCGCTGATTTAAATTTTTAATTTAAATTGAGATATAACTTTATATTAGAACTTTTTACCGTAGTAAAAAAATTAGATGTGACTGTTTTTAAGAACTTTTTACTGTAACAAAATTTAAATCGGTGAAATGAATGAGGACTTAAATTTGAATTCAGCCCACTCACGCATCTAACTACTTAGGGCCCGTTCGGTTCGCTAATTCAAGTTTTTAATTCGAGTTAAGATGTAATGTTGTGTGAGAGCTTTTTACTGTAATAAAAATATTAAATGTGACTGTTTCTGAAAATTTTTTACTGTAAAAATGGCAAATGAAATGAAAGATTACATGGGTCCATGAGAAACTGGGGTAAAGTTGCGCTAGCTCTTTTGATATCTCACCAAAAGACCAAATAATTTCACAAAGTTAGAGCCCATTGTCGAAGAGGGCTCTCATGAAGGTTTTGAAGTTACCTAAAAGTGGCCTCTCACCTCTGTTTCTTCTTCCTCTGCTTTTCTTTGCCGTTCGAACAATAAGAAATGTATAATCTTTTTTTTTTTTAATCTTCAATTCTTCTTGAAGATTGATGAGCATTGATGTTGTTTTTTCAACTTGTATGAGCATCCGTGAGATATGTAATTTAAGATACATAATTTAAAAAACATTTGTGAAAATAATCCTTTATATAATTAAGATATATAAAAAATACAGTAAGCATGATTAGTTTACACTCTCTCTCTCTCCAACAAAAATGTAAAGCATGGTCCATCCCTTCTCATCACCGCGAATACGAAAATATAGAATAAAATTTTAAAGTGCGTTTAGTTAATAATAATAGTAATGAGAATATAAATATTAATAGTAATGGAATGAAAAAAAATTAATTAATTTATTTATTTGTAATTTTAAAAATACTATAGAATGAAACATGAATATTTTTATATTGATAAAATTATTCTTATGTTATATGTAATACTAATATTTTATATATCACTATAATTAATATAATATATAAAATAGTTAATATAATTATAATATTATGAAATATATTATAAGGTTATATAATAAATAATAATCTTTCAATTATAATATAATTAAAAATTACAATAAAACTATTATTATATAACATATGATATAGAATATTATAATATTATTAAAATGGTTAATATAATTATTTTAACACCATGAAGAATTCAACAAGATAAATTAAGGTAATTAAGATTTATTGGTGTGCCTAATCTGATTTAATTAATTGGTTATTGATTAATAAATATTTTTGACGTGTAAATTTAAATAATTTTAAGGTATTTTAATATTTCCAGTAATTACATTTTTATTTCAAAAGTGTGTGTGGACACATTTCTGTACTGTCTATTAATTTTGTGACACCAGTCCTTTTTCTTTTCTTTTCCTTTTCCTTTTTCTTTTTCCCTTTTCTTTTTCTTTTCTTCCTTTTCTTTTTCCCTTCTCGCGCACACTCTCTCTCATTCTCTCCCTTTCTCTCTTCGAACTCTCACTCTCTCTCTCTCTCCCATTTTTGCTTCAAAATCAACCTGATTTCGAACCAAAGGAAAATTTTGAGAAGTTTTCAAAGTCAAGAGAAGGCTTTAAGGTAAGATTTTTGAAAACATCTCTTGAATCTCAAGTTTCTCGGATTTAAAAACTTATTTTTGGTTCGAAATGGATTTTGAGTAAAACCATGGTAGAAATTGGAGATCTTGGGTTCTTTTAACTTGATTTAGTACTTAGAACCCAGATCTAGTAGTTTTCCTTTGAGATATTTCGATTTCGAACCGAAATTGCAGGTTTTTGGG